AGAAAGATTTTTTTTGTCCATTTGTAGATTTGTCAAAAGCTTTTGATGTTGTTCAAAGTACACTGTTACAAAGTGTTTGGCTGATATTGGTGTCTGTGGAAAGTTTCTGTCTGTTACTACTTCAATGTGTGATAGACTATATGCTTGTGTTGGAACACCTGAGGGGTTACCTAAATATTTTACGTGCAGTATAGGTATAAATAATAATAATAAATGCATATGTATAATGTGCCCTTTCCACTCCCTAAGGCATGCTCAAAGCGCTACAGAATATTTACACTGGAGTATTTACAGCTGAAATTATACGTAATAAACTGAGAAAAGGTGGGTTTTAAGTCTGGACTTAAAATGTCAATTGTGTCAGAGCATTTAATGGCACATGGGAGAGAGTTCCAAAGCAGGTGCAGAGTAAGACAACGATCGGTGTCCAAAGGATTTCAGTTTGTAGGTATCCGTCAGGGGTCGATGCCTCCTTCACCCTCAGATGTTTTTAATCTTCATAAACAGACTTGTGGATTTTATATAAAATTATAGAGGACAAACCATCTTCATTACTGAAGACTGTCCCGCAATATATGCTCCAATGTTTGTTGATGACATATCTACTGTTGCTGATACGCCTCTGAATTCTGAAGATTTCTGCTTTAGAGCATGTTTGCAGTTGAACAGGCATGAAGGTAAATCTGAAAATAGAACTGAAGCGATGGTGTTCAGAGGTTTGGACCTCTTAAACATTATGGAAACGGTGTGCAGAGAAACAGTGTCTTGTTATAGATATTTGGATGTATGTGTTCACACCTAAATTTATTCGAACTTAAGCACTAACTTGTAAGAGTAAAAGTATTATGCCACTGTACAGATATCAACAGAAAGTTGGAAATATACCACACGTCCTAATTTATTTAAGATATGTGATTCTATATGATTGCACTTATGGTGTGTTATGGTGCAGAAGTGTGGGGCACCTCATATTGTAAACTTGTTGTACAGCATATAATGTGTAAACGCTTTTTCAGAATGGGTAAAACAATAACAGTGCTATGGTTTGGGTTTTTCCCCAACGTGTCTGTCCCACACTATCTTTTATCGAAATGCTTTCATCTGAAAACTTTGATGCTGTATATAACTCATGTCTATAAAGTCCAACAGCTACGAGAAGCGTAATGAATTACTTCACTGGCATGCGTGATTCATGAACCAGATATAGTCCGTATTTTGCGCCTATTGCCTTTTTTACCGAATAAACTATCTGTCTGTCTGTCTGTTTGATTCCTTTTTAGCCAGTTTTGATGAAAATTGAAACCCACATTCGGTAATGATTTGGGAACATCCATATACTCCCAGTGTGTTGGGACAGAAAATATAATATAGAAATGCCAAATGGGCATCTACACGTTTGCCAGTGACAAGCACGCGTTCATAAAATGACTATGTACAAAGGTGATCCAAGGACCTACGAGGCTACACATGACGCTTCATGCCTCTGTACAGTCTCTGAATGTTTCATAGCAATCACTTCGACATCATACATATTTCCAGTCGCTTAGTCTACAAATGATAACACCAGAATGTTTAACAATTCATGGGTTAATAAATTCAAATTTCAGTCAGCTTTAATACATGGATTATATCTCGATTGTATAACACTTAGATAGTCCATCTGTTCTAACTTACATCAGGACATGAAACTCATAAACTCAACAACGTCAGACACCTGACTACCACGGTAATGATTGTTTGGGGGTAAGTTGGAATATCAGGAGCATTTATCGTGAACTGTCAAACTCACGCACTCACAATGTATGTGACTCAACACCCCTCGGTATTACGCGATTAAACGCTGCTATCCGACCACACACTGTATTCGAACCAATAAAGAATCTGAAATATGTTGCAACACCCCGTGTGGGACAGCCTTTCTTTTTGATACTGCACAGCTGAACAAAGAAAAGATCCCAGCTTATTAGCAAAAGTATGTTTCATTCAAGGAGTATGTTTCATTCACTTCATCATATTTCTTGGTAAAGATGTTTTAAGAGCATTGAAATCCATATGGGGAAGCGAATGCGTGGTGCCCGATTGTAGCTTGAGATCGGCTCCTTCCAATTTCTGTTGTATTGTCATTATGTATGGCCATGCAGACTACACTGGGAGAATATTGTACTTTTTTTCACCAATATTTTATGTCTCACACATTGTAGTCTCGTTCTTCATAAGCATTTTCTGTTTTATCTTTATGAACGTCCTTGTTTCTTGATAAACAATGTATCATGGTGTTATTTATGCATGCAATAAAAGAGTGTATGGGATTATTTTAGTGAATCACAATGTTTTCACACGAATGGTAAATCACTATCTTATATTCAAAATATACTGATACATTTTAAAATAAATCTTGAATGATTATGTAAACAGGAGCTAAACAAGAACACAAACAAGCACTTTAGTCCACTAAAATATTTATTCTCATTTAAAATATCCATGTGTGATCATATCATATGAATAAAATACCACCCACATATCAGTGGCCTGCTCACAGCAACTTTAACACTGAGACAATATCAGCTGGACTTGACATAAAACTAAGTAAATAACAGCAAAGCCAGTATATGGACTAGGCAGCACTCTGGCATGGAGTGCACAGAAAACTAAATTCACAATTGGTCCATATCTTATCATAGTGACAACATAAAAGGTACATTACACATGTGATGATTACATTCTCTCTAACACTGGTGTAATCACACAAATGAACAATGGTACATGACTTCAGTCATTTAAAAGAGATGTGACTTTGTATACTTTGAACTTGTTATTGAAAATGAAGCATACCGGTTCCTTCCGCTACAGTTACAAAGCAATCTGTGTTCAACTGTCCCACTGTCACAGAATAGGAAGGAGACTAGTCTATGCTAAAACACAAGAGACTGACAGAAGTCTACTTTGTTAAATAGAGACTGTGACAGTGCTAAGATTGCTTTGTAAAGCAAGGTTTAGAATGTGGTTGTGAAAAAAACACAAGTTTCTCTGTACAATTAAATCAGATGACTTAATCAAATAAAAAATCAACTTTCTAAAAAAGATATCGTTTTAAAAAGAGCTTTTATAATACACCTAAACATGTCTTTAAAACCATACATGCAGTGGTAAAGCCCTTATTCAACAACAGTGGAGATCCCAATTCAGGCTTCACTGAATGACCACCAAACAAGGAACTGAACGTGATATCAGCAGGTAACAAGTGTACAAATCATCCACTGGACCACCTTCTCTGTTATACTGAGACAATGTTCTAGGGTTTAAAAATGGGCTAACACAAAGTAGAATGTATTATGCCCAATAAACTCTATATGTTCTTGATATTGCACTTTCCAATTTAACAGTGGTAAATAGCAGTAGCCGTCATTATAAATGCCCTCTCATACACAGAAACTGGGACTTCAATGCAACAGTTAAATCACAGTTTGGAAGCGAATGAATAGAAAATGTGTTGCAGGTAGTTCAATTTGTGAAACCCATGAGCCTGTTCTTCCTCTCAGATCAAGGATAATAATCAGGATGAATCTTGGATTCAAAGCCACGATGACAGGTCCTGACATAGCTGGGGGAGACAACTCTGTACAGTGACCAATGGTACATATTCCTCAAAACATGCAGGAAGATTTGAATGTTTCAACACTTAAAATCTACACATATCTTAAAGTTGAAAGAACAAGACTTAAGTCATAATAATTGTGGGTAACATATTTCATCACCATTCACAAAGGACAAGAAGTTGCCCTTGATTACAAAGCTTCATAGTTTCCTTCCCATCATCTGGTTGTCCTCTAACAGATTGTTCCTGTAGGAGTATGTGACAAAGTCGGACGCATTAAGTGTGAGATGCCACATTTTGCACCCAGTTACAAAAAAACAACCCGAAAAACACAAATGATATCAGAAGACTGACGTCTTACTGAAGATGGTACCTGCATGAAGCTTAGGGAGTGAATATCACACAAATAGGGAGGTGTACAGCAAGATCACATACATAGAGAATACTACATGAGGTCTCATTACATACGAAACGAGTGTCACGAGTGTCAGTGTCCTTCCTATGGTATCTGACCGAGCAAAAGCAAGGTCAGAAACCATAGGAATCATGAGTTCGTATGTCGTATGTGACCTTGTGTGGTATTTTATTTATTACCAAAGTCTTACATGCATTAAATTGACAATATAGCATATTTTTGTTATTGATATGGTTTCAAACCAAAACCGATTTCATAAAGAGGTTGCGGAAGAATTTTGTTCTGTAGTACACTTATGCATGACGTCACACTGTATTGGTGTCACTACGCCATTCTCGTCTGTCCCCTTGGTAACCGACATCACGATGCATGTCAGTTGTCATCGCCTCGTACAGCCTCCTACAGTAAACTACTCCATAGCACCCCGTTTCTTGGTTTGCAACTGCTGCACTCGGCTAACATCACTGGTGGAAATATTGCATTTATGTTTTTCGACGGATATAATGTCTCAGTTCGACTCAAAATTAAACAGCGACACGGCAACGTTCGCAATGTTTACATTCCCACAATGCATCTAAGTTGTAGAATGAATGAATTCACATGTTTGTTATGAATGAACAAGTAGTTCCGTCACAACGTGACCTAACTGAGAGGTCATCGGTTATCCAATCAAATCGTTAGAATCTCAGGTCAAATCGTTACGACACAGGTCAACGCGATACGACACTCGTGTGACGTACTAGAGTAGTATGCAACGCTGACCACGTGGGTAATAAACACCTATCCACACTCAGCATCAATCACAGATGTAACATGTACAACAGATCACTGATATGGACAACTGGAACTCTCAGTGCAGGACAAAAACCTGCTACATGTGACATATTCTTTGATGCAGATTGTTGTGTATCAATGATTTATCAGTTTCTTCAACAGTCAACATTCATCCTGGACACATGGAATCAGCAAGATGACAAGTCTCAAATACAGTTCATTGGGACACCATTTCATTTTAAAAATCCAATTCACAAAATATATTTGAGGATTTCTACAAGCTGATTTGTTACTTCCCAAACCATCTGCATAAAAAACACACTGATCCAGCTGTTCTTTTCCATCACAATACATATCCAATAGTGTTGAGTGAACATCTATGAAGGGACTGTACACCTATCAGACTCAGAAATGAAACAATAATGTTATTACACTCTAGCATCACCAGCTACTACCTACTCATAAAGACTTATCGCCAGTGAAAGAAGCATCATGTCAAGCTAGTGACCGAGTCACAACCAAGAGATCGTTCCTGCAGGCAGTTCTGTTCTTCTGCCAGTGTATCCTACCCTGCAGCTGAGATCAGGACAGACTGCGAGCCCATGTGGTGTATGTTCTTGAGGCCGATCCCCCACCTGGGGACCAGGGGGAACTCCAGTCATGGATGGGAATATCAGTCTCATACACTTTAGAGGCAGTTTTGTTGTACACTGGGAGGTGTTCATTGGCTTCATCTGATAACACCTGAAGTTACATATGAAATATGGTTAAGACAGGGGAGGTAACTCTGATAGAAAAAAACATTGCTTAGCAGTCTACGGCCATACCACTGTGAAACATTGCTAAGCATATTTACTGAAGACATTAACATATATATTTGCAATAAATACAATTTACAGCATCTGCTATTTGATACCTACTTTAAGATAAATGACAGCATCAGTTCCGTATCCCTCGACCGAGTTGAGTACTAAGTCGCCCTGGAAGTATCGCGCGTAAAGCCTGGACAGGGGCAGGCCGTACCCATAGCCAGCCTGGAAACACAACACAACAGGAATAACATCCACATACTTGCACACATGGACACAATCCAGCACAACACAGACATGTATCAAGCGTATGTTATAAATTGAGGAAGTATGATTTTTGGTCAACAAATCAGCAATAACACAGCAAAGCATAACACTTAACAGAAATATCCTATAATAACATTTGGCCACTAAGTACAATTTTCCTTCAAAACATCCTCTTCAATCAACCGTCAAAAGGTAGGTGGAAGTAAGAAGTTGACACTGAGCTGAACGATATTTCCAGCGTGTGTGAAGTTTATGCAGGATATCAGGACACAAGTCTCACATATTATCTATCTTGGCCAAGCTACCAAGAATCACACATCACCAGCAGATTATGTTATGCAAGAGGGTGAGTTACTCAGCTTAACACCACTATTTCAACAGTATTTCAGTGATATTATAGAAATCCGTTTTGATTTTGAAAATGCCAAGAAATATTTGCCGGAGATGAAACCAACAAGCTTGTGCATAATGCTGACAAACTCACAAATATAACCTTCAGATCTTAGATTTCAAACCATGGTCATAGGTTAGTGGCATGCCTAAGGCACAGAACTACTGCACAGTGAACTGTCAACATGCAGAGATATTTGCAAGACAGTAATACATGAAGTATACAGCAGTGACCGGCACACTGGAGGAGAGAGGAAACGTACCAGTGGTGCTGACCCATCCCCAGAGCGGTCAGGCTGGGGAGCAGTGGAGTACATATACTGGAACAGTTGATCAACCTTAGACCTGGGCACTCCCCCACCCACGTCCGACAGTCTGATTGTCAGATCTTCACTTCCCTTGGATATCATTACATTCAGTTTGGGTACATCACCGTCCGGAGGGCTGTGTTCCACCACAGCTCGCATGGCATTCTGCAAGAGGGAACAACATCAGTCAGCTAACATGTCTTTCTATTTGGTGAAGAATAAGACTGAACACTCACTTGCTTGAACAGGGAAAACATACCATGAAATGGTCAAGCACGTACTACGTCTTCATTAAGGTGAGAAGTTAGTTTAAACATTGTGGTTCAAGGTTATTTCACTTATAAAGAGAGAGAGAGTAAAATACCATGCCACTGTTCAACACAATATACATAGTAAGTCCATCTCAATGCTAGTTCACCTAGATATATTTAAATCAGGTTTTAATGATGTAATAAATTTTTAGGGCTCCTTGCTGCAAGGAGACCTGGTGTCCTTGGCATCAAGGGTTGTAAATCAACTGTATCTACAGTAAACAACATCCTCACACAACCACCGCGCTGTTCCAAATGAAATTGAAGTTTATCAATGGTTAATAACCGTGGGGACATCAGCGTTATTGTGTTTGCTGACACAGTGTCTTATAATTTTATTAAAACTGTTGAAAAAAAACTTGTTTCGTTTCGTTTCCTTATAATTTCACAAGTCTAGTAGTAGTATTACTCGAAGTCTTGCAATCACACACTCTGTCTATTGTCTGGCGTTAATTAGCTTAGTAACCCAATGTGGACACATTTTTCTGGAGACATGTTTTTACACGACACAGGGTGTCCACGGACCGAGAATACCCCTACTGGAGTACTTTAATTGCTGTGAAATCACAAGTTCACTTGCGTCAGCGTGAGAGAAACAGCGTTATGGATAGTGATAAATCCTACATAAATACAGAGCACGAGTGCTTCGTGTCCACATGTCAATTTGGCTGCTGTTAACATTTAGATGGGAGTGTCTTCCAACAGTGCAGCAAAAATCTGCATCACAACTCACCAGGTATCACTATCAGTAGGCAATGCATCATGATAAAGAGCATAAAAATGTCTTCTTTTGGTCAAATGGCACAAGAGTGTTTACAGACAGTTAGATGTGAATCACGGCTTGTCAGCTACATGTAACGGCATGTAATGCTGATTAAGAGTATAACAATAGACAAGGATCTAGTCAAAATAAAACAATGTCCTTGCTAATTTTTGTATATATCTATTATTGATATTAGATCAATGGAAAAGTATGTTTTCTTGTTAAAGAAAGACGTACATTAAATTCGCATAATGGGAATCACAGTGAGCCTTGCAACTTATTCAGTTAAGGCCAAAAAAGTTTCTGTTTCTCTGACTGTTTGAACAAAGGGTTCTTCTGGTTTGAGATTTATGATACCAAAGTGATATTTTTAAATCTAAGAAAATAGGTTTCGTGATGAATTTATTGAAACTTAAAGACCTTCCAGTACTTCCAGTCGAAGAGCATTCGACTAGCAGTGATATGATTCATATTAACTAAAACTATTACTACTTTCATCAGATATGTGACAGATACTCTAGGCTAGCTAGCTAGAACTAAAGCCAAGACGCCCTCATCGTTGCTTTCAACTATATTTTTATTTCTTGTTGTACCTACAGCATAACAATAATGACAGCATGATATCAGACCCACCTTAAACAGTTCGAACAGCATGTGATAGAGGTGAGAAGGTACATACACCATATTGATTGTGGACTCTTTCTCCAGTGCTGAAAACATACCGTTGCAGAAGGTTAAAGAATGTAGATCAGATCTGTATCACTTTCTATTCGCTTACATCAATTTAAGAATATGGCCTAGTAATAACCATGATCACTGATGAATTATCAACAAGCAAGACAATGAGTCTAACACATCTTACGATTTTTTGTTATAATGTCCACTTCGGGTGAGATGAGGTAGTACTGGTCACAGAGAAATCGAGCATTCTCATACGCATCTGGAACCAAAACACATTTCATAATAGAAAAAAACCCAATTATTTCTGAAACAACATTGACAACATCAGTAGATAGGAAATATGATGTTCACACTCCTTTCACAAAAGTATTCATCAAATTTCTACAAAAACAAAACAGTTAACTACCTACAACAGAATAGTGTAGGAGGAAAGCCTAAACTTGCTATCAAACCAATAAACAATCCAGACAAACAGAGATTTAAAGACACCATCAGTTTTCTGTTGTGTGTAAGGGAGGCAACTCTGTAAACACCTGTGCCATCCATGTCCCCAATGATAGTAGAACAGGGTTCTAATGTACAATGATGGAAACCTACCCTGCACAACGTCCAACACATTACAGCTGGGGTCGATGCAGCCTATATGCCGTGGGTGGGCAAGTTGAGAGCCAAACAACAGAGCTGAAACAACACGTTGCCATGGTAATGTAGGAAACTCATACATGTAATTAAGCATCAGCCCAAGATTGTACTGTGGCATCCTTCTAGAATGAAGCACAGCAAAAACAAAGAGGGAAGGCATCAGCAGATATGGTAATGCATTCAGGGCAATGATAATTGATAAACTAGTCTGAATGTAACAGTTCTTCAAACTAATGCAGGTTTATTGGCAATTTTGGCACTCAGAGGAATCCTTAAAAAGATGAAAGACACAAACCAGTGTGCAAGGTGTAAGTAATGTAAAAGAACCATATGAACTTTGTTCAGTTACCAGGTGTTAGCTCCAGTAGCCTTGTTCCATCGAACTAACACAGATTCAATGTCATGATAAAGTATGAGAGACAGCTTAATCAGAGCCTTGTCCATAAATCACAAAGACAGACAGTGCCATTACTCACTGTGCTGATTGATGAGCATCCGGATGCTAATCCTGCTCATGTAGAATCGGTCCAGGAAATACTGGATGCGGTTGTTGGTGTTGCCATCCACGCCATATGTCTCCTTCAGCTCAATGATGCCCTGTAAACCATTCACATCATAATAGTTATACCTTGTCTAACATTTGCCATCATAATAACAATACCATGTCAAACATTCACCATCATAGATGTCATAGTGTGTTGCACCCTGTCAAGCATTCACCATCAGAATACATAGTGTGTTATACCATGTCAAACATTCACCATCAGAATATAGTGTGTTACACCCTGTCAAACATTCACCATCAGAATGCATAGTGTGTTATACCCCGTCGTCAACATTCACCATCAGAATGCATAGTGTGTTATACCCTGCCACCCTGTCAAACATTCACCATCAGAATGCATAACCCTGTCAAACATTCACCATCAGAATACCTATACCCTGTCAAACATTCACCATCAGAATACATAGTGTGTTACACCCTGTCAAACATTCACCATCAGAATGCATAGTGTGTTTACCCTGTCAAGCATTCACCATGTCAAACATTCACCATCAGAATGCATAGTGTGTTATACCCTGTCAAGCATTCACCATCATAATACATAGTGTGTTATACCCTGTCAAACATTCACCATCATAATACATAGTGTGTTATACCCTGTCAAACATTCACCATCATAATACATAGTGTGTTATACCCTGTCAAACATTCACCATCATAATACATAGTGTGTTATACCCTGTCAAACATTCACCATCATAATACAGTGTGTTATACCCTGTCAAACATTCACCATCATAATACACAGTGTGTTATACCCTGTCAAACATTCACCATCATAATACATAGTGTGTTATACCCTGTCAAACATTCACCATCATAATACATAGTGTGTTATACCCTGTCAAATATTCACCATCATAATACATAGTGTGTTATACCATGTCAAGCATTCACCAGTGTATAGTCATGCCTTGTGAAACTCTCACCATGACAACAGCTATAAACTATCAAACATTGACATCATAATACAGTTATACCCTGCCAAACATTACTTATTATTATACATTAATTTTTTTCTTTTCAAACTCAGTTGGCACAGCATATATCTTCATTTTTTTACCTATTCATCACTCCAGCTATATCCCATCTCAACACATTATCCTATCTCGTATCTAAGTGCGGAAAAATGGCACACATCTAACCACTAGATGAGTGAGTATGGTTTTACGCTGCTTTTAGCAATATTCCAGCAATAACACGGTGGGGGACACCAGGAATGGGCTTCACGCATTGTACCCATGTGGGGAATCAAACCTGGGTCCTCTGTGTGACAAATGAGTGCTTTAACCACTTGGTTACCCCACCGACCCCCAATATGATGATGCTGGTATTACGACATGCATACGTATGTGCAGGTTGTGAGATTAGAACAGTTGTTTTCTGCTTGTTAGATAATAATAAAATCATTAACATATTCTATTTGTTGGTAGATAGGTACTTTGTTCGACCATGTAACATATGTTAAGAATTGTAAAGTCAATACATCTCCTCTAAAGAAAGAGTGAAATTCATTCTTCAGAAATATCTTTGAAGACATTTCATCACATACTCACGGATTTGAGAACAAAAGATTCATTGAGAAAAGTCTGTGATGCCTTATATTTACTGCTGTATTCTCATGCTGCCACTACCTCTCCCCTGCCCCGTGTCATCATGCATCATAGAACCAAGTCATGAAGCATGCCTCTGCTCTCATCATTACCATCCTAATTACAGGTGTATGAAGGCAGGTACAGGTTGCCAAGGTAACACGGATCATCATACCTGAGCCATGGTTTCCACCACGTTGGCGTGACGATTCCGTATATGTGTAAGTGTGTCAGTGAAGCTGAAACAAAGTTTGAATGTTACATATTATCAATAACATAAATCGACCAACAAGTATGACATGCAGCGGAAGGTGCCGAGGATAAGGCTCACATGTGGATATCAACAACGATGAAGACATAGACCCACTTATTACCACTGCAATAGTTACAGTGTGTTCCCTGTCCAACACTAGCACTATGCATGTAGCGTAGGCATGTCACATGAAAACAGGGTACACCAGATAGCCTCTGTAACTTTCCAGGAATGTCTTGTTAGAGCCAATGCCAGTGAGCAATGCTGGTCTTCCTCAAGGCTAGAATTTGTCCATTGCAAATATGCTGTTCTCCCTAAGTGGATGCTTGGTTAGAATGTCCCAAGTGAAATATGCTGGACACAAAACACTCGAGTGGTCAAAATAAGTCAAAGGCATGTAATTGTCCCTGATGGGGCTCGTCAGTGTTCATAACATCAATCACTGGTATATGTTTAAAACGTGACAAAGTAAGGGCTGCTGGAATGTTGGTAAGTGTTGCATTAAACTTACTCAGTAAGGGTCTTGTCACTTGTGTTGTTTTCTTCAAAGTGAAGTAGTTCCTTAAAACTCTGTTCATACCTGCAACATAAGTCCAAGAAAATGAGACAGATTTTAAACTCAATGACTTACTAATCAATCATTATCAATGATGCATCTATTACTTCCTATGGTTGCAATGATTCATCACACATGGCCATAATCAATTACACAGGTACATAGAAATTGATGTATTGTTTTTATTCGAAAACTTTCAATCATTCCTCATCATACTGAAAACCTGAAAGTACACATATACTGTACATAACCAATTTGTAACCAATCAACCTCTGACATTTACGGATTTGGATTTTGTAAAAAATTTAAATCCAATCTCTTCACATGATTCCCTGAAAGTGGAATTGATTGATAATTGTGTTTAGTCTATGAGACAAGATCATCAACAATGTCAAATGCAAATTCTTCCAGTGGAGCCCAGTTTTTGAAGTAAGTGCTTGCCCATAGGCAATCTCATGCCAGACATGTAGTTACAAATTGAATGGGTCATGCAATGAATTTATGTGTAAATTTTATTTAATAAGTGTCAATTTATCATAATAAGTTGCATTATTAACAGTATGGTCTGAAGAGAATAGTCACAGACTGCAGCTTCTGATGGAGGGATGACAAATTTGTATTTATTTCACAACAGGCACCACACTTTATTCCGGGCAATGGACACTGACCACTTCACAAGTGTTTTCCAGAAGAAGTAGGCAGCAGTCTGAACACTACTAACAGATCAAAGTTGTCAACCTTACATTCTATTCTCATTTTCTTGGAAGCTTAATTATCAATATCTTATCACAGATCTGACATAGGCTGAGAAGATGATAATGTATCTCTATTAGGAATACCGATGAGGCAGGTTGCTAGGGCTCCCATGTGAAGATAAACTCAGGTTTTTATGACAATTACTGCTGGGATACACTGTACCATTTAGAAAGTGGTCAAACGTAACATATGTTATATTTGGGATTACATTTTCTGGCGATTAGGTGCCTAACTCTGAGGGTGTGGGTTGGAATCCCGGATAGGACTCAGCCCAACAAAAGTACTAAAGTACTGTCGGAAATGCTAGAAAAATGCTTTTTTACTTGTATTTAAAATTCAGAGGTATTACAGTTACTTAAATAACAAATATCACTTCAAGAAACATCTACCTAATGTAGACCGAGGGAATAAATTTTGAGACATGCTCTAAAATGTGTTTTTACTGATGAAAATACCAAAAACTTAGAAAAATAAGGGGTAGTGGGACGTTATTTGATACAAACATTAATTGCCTGTGTTACGTCATCAGCATCCACGGTATCGACAGGTGAAATTGACACCTGAGCACACGCTCGGGCGAGGGGTCATCTCAATAGATGTTTTCTGCAAAATGTTGAATATGTGTACGTATAGTATACGTATTGGTTATGTAAGGGATCATTTGTGTATGTGAATTGTTTTGAAATAAACACGAATTACTGTACATTGGAAAGAATCCTATCACATGTGTTATCTTATCGATTGATTGTAGAAATGTGCAACGTTTTAATAAATGTTTTGCATGTCAACAGTATATTTCATTGAAAAAATATGTATGTAATTCGGTCAGTTTAATCTAGTTGTGAACATTGGCCAAAGATTTGACGAAGTCACTGGTGTAACTTCTTTAGAATATATATATTCTTCTTCTCATAAAGTTTGTAGACCGCCCGTCTAAGCACTCCCTTGTCAAAGTTGTCAAGGATGGTTTTACGTCCCGGTTTTGCTTTTGAGACGGTCCCTGTCTTGTCTGATTTGTTTACAATATTGTAAACTTGTTGGTAAGACATACCAACAGCTCTACAAGTTCTGTAATAAACCCTTTCTAAACTAATGAAAGGTTTACCTCTGTCTTTCAGGCAGAAAAAACTTATAAACCTTTGCAACAATCGACTGCAAATCGTTGGCCACAGTGGACGCTGTGATAAAGATGTGCATGCATGACGGGAAACGTATTTATCAAGACTTAACATTTATATTAATATTTTTTCAATAATGAAACGATAATTAAGTAAAGTAACACAAACATTCAACATTTATTTGTTTAGGAAATACGTTAATTCATATTTTTACACCACCTGTATTATTAGCATAAATGTAAAGACTATTTCAGATTTCTGTTGTTGAACTCTGAAAAAATCCGAAGTTGCTGTTTTGATACCAAATTCTCTCCTGTAAACTGCCCTTTAAATGCATGGGAATGTTAAATCGATTGAAATAGAAATTAGGTACACTTTACGCGAGTTGATATATTGACAACATAGTACATTTATCACCTTTATAAAGATATTAAGGCTAAAAAGCATTTTTCTAGCATTTCCGACAGTACTTTAGAATCTGTACTTTACTAGGAAAGTGTACTCCCAAATACAGCATATGTTACAATTACTGCTGGGTCGTATGTACTGTGCCACAGCACCTGCATCACTATGTATCAAGGTAGGGGCAACATGTGGGGAACTTCATCTGCAGTCCACATACAGCTTGTTGGTATCCATCAGCTTGTGTCTAATTCACATTCATTCAGGCTTGCTGTAATCAACTGATACTGTTACCCACATAGAGTTAACCTTTTGTTGTGGGACAGAGACAAGACCATGCTTGCATGAGCAATTACATGTCGTGCTGTTCTTGTACTATGTGAATATTATTGCTTAACATGTGACAAACAATGTATGCATTCAGTTATTACATGCACTGTTGGTGATATCAGTAAATATGTTTTGAACAAATTCAAGATAATCATATCAACTGATGATAATGTTAAATTGCTAATGTAGGTTATTGTCCACAATATGAACATCAGTTCTTGGAACTCAGTAATCAATATCAATAATTGGACCTCAGTTGTTTACATTGCAGGCTTACTGCATGTGTTGTTTATGTATTGATCTCACAAACATAACAATGAGAATATACTTTCTAAAATTTAATTGAAGTCTCATTTTTTGTGAATATAAATTAGTCTCCCGGGGCCATTGATAATTACTGACACATGATTGGTCGACTATTTAATCACTCCAGCAATATATATGGATATCACCTTTCACAAGAATTATAAAAACTGTTCTTTGAGAAGAAATATCAGAACTTCTGCTAACTTTCAGTACATGGTCTGCAAACCAAATACATAAATAAAGTGACTATAGATGTGACCAGAAATGACCTTGACCTGGCAAGTGTCAAGTTTTAAAAAATTTCCACAGTGTCAGTTAATCTGTTCCAGTGCAAACTCAGTTACCCCCACTACTATCCAGGGCTGACACATTGCTACACAATAACCAATCAATACACAAAGATAGGGATCATGAAAATACTCTTTCAACATACCCAGTGGAAGCTAATCATTTATTGATTTTAACCCACAGGTGACACAGGTAGTAAACCATATGGTGACTGTGAGAATTTACGCTGAAATACAGGTGATAGTAGAAAGTGGACACAGTGACACTGCTGAATGGAAAGATACTTGGTGGCAGAGAAAAAACTGGTTCATCTTGTCAGTCCTACGGTGCTGACAAATCAATACATACTGTGGTAGCACCCAACGACTCACATCATTAGTTCTCTGCATCAATTAGCAGTCTCTTCCACAATATGACACTAGGAGTAACATGTTGAAGATGTATTACCAATGAATCAATAGTCATAGCCTTGAGTATTTAACGTAGTCATGGACAACGGACACAGTCTGGTTAACAAAAAGATCTTTACTCCCTTTGACTGGAACAAGTTCGCAGACAAGGTTAGAGTGCAAATACACATGGTTGGATGTACATTGCCAGGGATTCATATCAACTAGTTCTTTCATATCTATCGTGACCAATTTGAGCAACAACCAAATCTTTATGAGTATGATTAGGAGTAAATCATGAATATATGGCTATGCTCATCAACTCATGACAAAGGAGGCTAGGGCAAGCTGAGGTAATATAGATGGTTTACTTCAGAAACTCACCAACAATCCACAATGAATCATGATTAGCTGAAGTCACTATGATCAACAGTATGTCATGTATGTATAGATGTACTTACCAACTCATGACAAAGGGAGACAATGAACTATGCATGAACTACATGTATGTATATGTATAGATGTACTTACCACTCATGACCTCTTATGATCAACAGTATCTCATGTATGTATAGATGTACTTACCAACTCATGACAAAGGGAGACTGAGGGAATCTTCAGAATGAACTATGATCAACAGTATCTCATGTGTATGTATGTATGTACTTACCAACTCACAAATATGAGGGATTGAGTTTATCTTGAATGAACTATGATACCAGACTACTATGATCAACTCATGTATGTATAGATGTACATGACAAGGGAGACTGAGGGAATCTTCAGAATGAACTATGATCAACAATGGGAGAATACTTGATCAACTGAGGGAATCTGAGGGAATCTTCAGAATGAACTATGATCAACAGTATGTCATGTATGTATAGATGTACTTACCAACTCATGACAAGAGAGACTGAAGGCATCTGCAGAAGGTTCTCAGGAAGATGGTTGATCTCCTTCATAATGTTAGCCATCCTAACAGGAAGCTCATTGCGCAGGAAGTTAAACGAGAGCTCTTGACTCCCTGTCTTGCTACCTGAAAGTACACAGGACACAGACCTTCTTTAACTTTATCCGAACGATAGCACTCACTGACAATTTTGACCATGTGTTATGGCATTAACACACAGAATCAAGAAGTTAATACTATTTTGAAGTTAACACCATTTGATGCCTACATGGAAGAAAACATGAGAAATTGACAATGACATGTTTACTATGTTAGTTCGTTTATGAAGTGGTATATTTGAGCATCACTGAAATAACATTTATGCGATCGAGGTGATCCAACTGAATTGTGTATCTGTCCCAGGACATGTATTTCACAGACCATGTCACCAAAACCAAGAGTACATGCCAAAGGCACTATGATCACATTTCATGAGGCGACTCATATAGTCTTTTTCGATTACTTTTGAGTTCTTGAGTATCTTTGTAAAATAGCAAAATAATGTGTTTAGACATTTTAAGGGGAGAAACTTCTTTGAATGATGGCCACGACCGAAATGACCTCAGTGCATCATATTCGTAAGAAGTCCTTGGCACTCCGCCCCTTTGACTCCAACCATTTTCACAACGGAACACAAAGGCTTTGTTTTCTAACCTATATAGAGTAACAGGGATTTACATGGAGTCCTGTATTTGAGGGTCCCTGTGACTCATACTCTTTTCAGGGGTCCTTGGCAACAACATTCGGGTCCCAGACACTTAAATATTATTATTAATACTGTTATTGTATTGTGTATCATGATCATCACATTGTTACAGTAATTAAACTGTCAATAGTACCATAACCCAGCTAGTTGCAAACTCGGTAATAACCTATTGTCACTTGATTGGAATTTTTTAAAAAAATATTTGCCTTTTTCTGCGTCCCTGTGGATGTGCTAATCAATTTTGTTGCGTCCATTGTCAATTTTTATGCATATAGGATGCTGGAATTCTTGTCCTGTAAATCCCTGCAGTAACAAACAGGAACAGTAGTGCACATCAGGCATTAATGAGTTATTTTAGCCCATAGTGGCTCAGAAATTAGAGAAAATATGCAAACATGCTTGTTTAGAGATTGTGTTTTTGCCAAGTGGCTCGACTTTTAACATAAAAAATATACAGAGTACTATCAAACTCCGCAGAATTCAGGCTTGAACATACATGTATATCTTGAATGGTGATTGTAAATCAAAGATATCATGAATGTTATTCAGTGTAGCATCCCTTACTATCGTCCATTTATGTCAGTCTCTTTGCTCACAAGTATTACGTTGCTTCTAATGGCTAGTCTGGTAGACAGCACACAAAACTGATTTGTGCATTTATTAACTTTGGATTATATTTTCACACAGCACATGAACACAGAAAATTATCAACAAATAAATGAAATAACTGCCACCTGTTACAACTGTGATGATCAAACTTTAAAAAGGTGGAATAAATGTGACTTGGCAAAACTAATATGTATGTGGTGTCATACATAGGTTATTTATAGCTGACTGTAACTAGATACTGTAGTCATTAGTACAATATGTATAACATTTTGTCCATATGTTAGGAAGAGTGCTTTGTTGCTCATACATCTTACTTCACAGAGCTGCTGTTTTTGTGTCTTTGTGGTGTTTTCATCTATTCAATGACCTTGAACTTTTTCTTGTTTATGCCAGCTGTTTACAAACCACACCTGACAGTGTTGTAAAATGACATTCAATGGAATGTTTCAGGCAGAGAATCAATTTATGCTGACATGGTAAACAGAAAGAACGTGAACTTTTTATCATATTTGATTTATCATAGCAATATGCATAAGTGTTTTTTTGTGTGAAAATGAACTCTGCTGTCTCAGGTCCCTCCTAAACTTGCAGATGTTTGTAAGGAAATGATTAGCTTCAATGATAATTCCCAGATAATATACCTAACATATAAATACAGAACTAATACATATCCAAAGTATTATCTTTCCTTCACATGGATGAATGTTTTGTATAGGTGAAGATCTGATCATTAGATCCTAACAGATTCTTTCAACATCGAATGGGTCAAGACAACAGTATGCAAGGCTCCCGATAAAGGCCGTTTCGGCGTATGTACGGATAAGAAATATGCACCATGCGGATAATTAACAAGCGTATTTATCTGAAAAAGTATTGTTTTATTGTTTCTTGACCTGTTTACACAAGAGTAGCAATGTTGTGGTGCATATATGAAACGAAACACAAGATTACTGATACGCCATTAAATTCCATGCAGTACTCTAAATGTACTCTTCAGTTTTTCCAGTTTTCCTATATTGAAAAAATAAGGAGTATGTACTCCTGATGTTGAAAAATTATTTTGAGCCCTGAGTATGTAAGAGGGGACATAACCAAGAAATTATTTTTAGTGTTTATGAAATGAGCGAGTACACACTGCATAATCCACAAAGCAAAATCTCCACATCCATTTTTATGCTTATTTTAGGCAAATTCGCAACTAAGCGCCCTTGGTAAACTAAATTGTTTGCTGAGGCAGGTATTTTGCATTTACTCAATTTGCAAATAAAAGAAATGTACTCAGCCTATAAATAGCATAACCCTGAAACATTTATAAATACTGCAATTATGTAATAGTCCTGCTTAGCTCCCTGATATTGTTGACAGAAACTGAAATCATCTTGACAATCTCCAACAGTTTAATTTAGATAAATGTTGTGTGGGTGTTTGAATTACTTTATCAAACCGCAAAAGAAAGTGAGGTAATAATTTTGTAACTGTTGTCAAATATAATATACAATCCTGAGGGGATGCAGGCACTGAATGACAGTAAATCGATGATAAATAACTATTTCAGATTGAGAAAGCAAGCTTGTTTAAATTCAGACTTTCCGTGATGTTAGACTTTGTTAGTGTGTTAGAGTGACACTAGTTCTGTCAAAATGCAGAAATGACTATACTGCCCTGGACTAATGAATCTGATACACTAATATGGTTCAGAACCCAATGATTACCTTTATCACATTGCATATTAATGATATGTAGCATTTTGTATTGTGTATATATAATCAACAATACTTATGTCTTCAAAATATGAAACATTAGCGTGCGTTCTGACAGTTTATGTCTATATCTGCTTACCGAACTCCAGTAGTTGTTTCAATGAAAGTGGTGATGGGTTGAAAGTGGCGTACTTTTCAAAAGATGCCCACCTCAGTCCAGACATGACATTGGAAAAAAATATGCGTGACAACTTCATCTCTGAGAATTAAAAGTGTAAATAACTCAGTGGAATCAAGTCCTTCCAAAATGTTTCTGAGAAGAAGCCACACGGATGGAAATCAAAACAAACATTGAAAGATCTATATCCGATCGAACCCGTGAGGTTACCGCGTTCGAACTAATTCTGTAGATCAGGTCAGACTGTGACCCTGACTGTGTTGGAAAGGAACGGGCCGCCTATGAACAAAACGTGCTAACTCGAAGAAATCATTTGCATCTCGGTCACCGATTTTCCGGTAAACAAACAACTGCTGTGACACATGCAAGTCGTCATGTAGACTTTGACCCAGTTCACCGTGTTTTGGTTTTGGATACAATTCGGCATACAACTAATTTAATAAGCTGAAGGAGGGAAACAGAGTCTTTGTCATTTTGATATCAATTTCACAATGAAGCAATTAAAATATATAGTCTCTGGCGAATAAAATATATGTGACAAGATATGTTTAGTGGAAAAGGTTTCGAAAATCTTTCTCCGCTTCCCTTTGGCATTTGAAGCCTACTCTGCAAACGATATACACGATATGTTGTTAGGATAATAGAGGTGGACTTTGCCCTCTATCGGGGAAAATTTCGTCAGGGGCGATAAGCGTTAACAGCTGATCTGGGGTCAAGTGAGGGTCACCCTCCTTTGTGGTCAATACCGCCTCAAGTGACAGAACACGGCTTTAGATCACATCCCATTTATCTCAATGCGTGTACAATAACCACCAATATATCCCTATCAACCAATATGTTAGCTTTTTGATAATTATTATCCATTTGAAAACGTAATATTCAGATTAAAACATTTAACTAATCTTTTTATCTTACTTAAAACCATACATTTGCGCATGTTGTTGGTTATTTTCCTCATGACGAAATGTGAATGACGCAATTGCTGCTGATGATAAAGTAGAGACATTGTGATTGGTTCATTGAGACACACCTCCATTTCAAGGGAACATCTCAATCTGAAAGCCCTCCGCAATACATACAGTGTGGCGTGTTGATGTGTGAACATGCACGGAACCAGGTACAATGGTGTAGGTGACACTTGGCTGGTAGGGGTATTGGTGGCAGGTCGGGATGTGTGTTTAAGCAGGGATAATCTACGTCTTCTGTTCTACTGGTTTAAGCGTGTTTCACACTAAGTGATGATGCTCTGTTCTACACCCACAGTCATTAAGATATTATGCATAAATACCATCTGCATTCGACATGACATTTGACCTTTCATGACAAACTATTAGATTTGTTTCGTCCAAACTTCAGCCGTGGGACTTCCTGTCACGGACTGCCTGTACACCACGACAATTTCACCATCACACGTTAAATAACCCTCGTCGCGGAATAGCACAGAATCCACACCTACAGATCGAACGTAGATATTTGGAATTGTCATTTTTGCCTATAAATGACCCATTCATTTGTATATATAAAAACTAGGATATATTTCACTTACTTTATATCTGAAACTGAACGTTGTGAAGCAATAACCCAATCATGCCAAATAACAACACAGACATTAATTAACGTCATGGTACTCAGATTATATATAGCAGAAAAACAATATTTCTACGTACCAAAATCAATGAATTTTTTGATTGACAGCGGTGATGGGTTGTAGTGAGAGTAGTGTTCTAGCATATGAGCGAGGTTCTGAATAGATCTTCTCGCCGTGTGAGAACCCATCATAGTATAGTTGAAGCTGATAGTGAATATCGTCCCCGGGGTAAAACTCCATATACAAGCTAGCCGTTGTTTTCTTCATCCGTCTCTACTGACTTCTGTCTCCAACTGTTTCTAACGAGATAAAACTGGCTTATGGTCCTTAACGACGGAAGTTCAGCGAGATTTACACGTAATGTTCTGAATATTCCGTTGGGGTCTCTCCGCCGATATTTACGTTACTTGACCTATTTCAGACGTCACGCATTTCTTAACCAATCACAGCTCGAGTGACCATTGAAGGCCCGCCTTCTATGATAATATATTGTTGTAAACACTGACAGTGCTCCCAGCTGAGCGAGCAAGCCCTGCCCAGTTGCGGTGGAAATCATGTCGGTTATCTCAATGTCTGAGGAGACTTGACAGACGGGGGATTTTCCCTTGTGTAGATTACATATGTGTTATCTGGCTATGTGTAAACAGGCCTATCAAAACAGGGTGTTCAAACACGTGTATTGATGGATATTGTGGGACAGTCGCATTGACGATCATGAATCGATAATATTCAATTTTATCGATAATGGTCAACATTTCTTGCACAATCTTCACAAATTATGAACGGTCCCTAAGACACATTACGCATTAACCCGCAGAAATCCCATACGTTCTTGTGTTTGTATGTCACCCCCCAGCCTCAATCTATATTGAACTAAGCACCACCCCTGACATTGTGTGTCCAGTGAGTCAGCTGGCGTTACCGTTACGTCACGACGTGTACGAGTCAGATTATATAGCTGCTGCTACTGAACATGTGATACAAGTTGTTTAACTTTTTGTCGTTACCGTCGAGCAAGGGAGAGTAAATTAGTTTGCAAACGGGTAAGCCTTTGTTGAGAAAGTGCTTCATGAAAAAGCCAGCAGCGTATATTTTAAGGAAGATGTTACTTGAGTCAGTTCGTCTCTCGGTATGTCTTTCACTTCGGCTTAAACAAAATGGTGTAGTGTGAATTTACCGTCAAATCCCTGTCTCGAAATTTACTAGGAATTACGAATTGTCATTGTATTCTCAGGTAGTATTGTAGAGAGGTTTCCTTGATATACTGTGGATCCAAAACAAACTATGAAGATTTGCGTGAAGTTTTGCAATCGCAAAAAGGTTTGCAATCTCAAAAAGGAACAACTTCAACTCTGCCAATATCATACAACTAATTTGATAAGCTGAAGGAGGGAAACAGTTTCTTAGTCATTTCGATATCAGTTTCACGATGAAGCAATTCAAATATAGTCTCTGGCGAATAAAATATATGTGACAAGATATGTTTCGTGGAAAAGGTTTCGAAAATCTTTCTCCGCTTCCCTTTGGCATTTGAAGCCTACTCTGCAAGCGATATACAAGATATGTTGTTAGGATAATAGAGGTGGACTGAGTCAATTTAAAAACTTCACAATTCATATTTATAAATAAAAATATGAATTCTTATAGTAGACAGTTTTCGGGTATCAATAATATTAATCCCTCAAGAAACAAACCACAGCACATTAAGTGTTTTACCCACAATAGTGCTAAAACGTGTTTTCACGTGCTACTGGTCACGTGATCTTATCATTGCACGTGCATTCGATCGCACATGTTCCCATCAACTGTACAAAGCCAATTCTTGTGCCGCGCCTCCCAAATGTGCAGCGTAAACGTACCGTTGGCATGCTGGAAGCGGGAACGTCAGTAAGTGACATTGCAAGGACAGTGCAGCCGTCGGACTGTTTATGATTTACAGACTCGACTGCAACAATCTGGCACCACTCGAAGAGAGTGTGGAGGCGTGAACGTTATGCTCAGTGTTGTGTACATGAAGTTGACAGATTTGAGGGCGGAAGTGTCATGGTTTGGGGTGCTTTCTGTGTGATTGCCAGTTCCTGACTTCTGGTTATCCGTGGGAAACTTAATGCTGCAGGTTACAGCGACAAGGAGCTAGCTCCCGAACTTGCTAGTATTCCATTCATGGCAGCACATGGTCCAGGTCTTCACTTTCAACATGACAATGCCAGACCCCATACAGCCATCTTGACCAGGAATTACCCGCAGAACGCAGGAATTAACGTTCTTGACTGGCCGTCAAGGTCACCTGATCTCAGTCCATTCGAGCACATCTGGAAAGCTCTTGGTAGAGGTCTGCGCTCTCAGGAACCAACCCAGAATTTGCAGGATCTTGGTGCTGCTTTGCATGAACAATGGCGCCGACTCCCCAATAATGCGTTTACACGCACCAAACAGTCCACGGGGAGGCGTTGCTTAGCAGTTGTGAACGCACGGGGTGGCCATACACGCAACTGAACGTTTGAAACATCAGATTTAATTTCTTGTGACTTGACACTTCGTTTACGCCTTTTATTGATTAACCTCTACACCACACTCTTGTGTCCTTTCTTTTATATGTTATTTAATATATGATTTTGTGAAGTTTCTTGTTTGACTCAGTATGTTTGGTTTTCGGATATAGTATACTCCTATACAAGAAACAGGTGGAAACTTCGTTCCTTGAGTCAAGGAAAAACGTTAACCAGTTTCATTTTGATAATGCCAACAGGTTCTGAACAGCCTGAAGTGATTTTATGTGATCACAGAAATGATTTCGTCGCTTATAATTAAATCCCTCAATCTATTTGTAACGAACAACAAATACATTGGGGAAGTCGTAAACTAAACAAAGGGTCTCCACTGTGAAAAGTAGTAAGTAAAACCGTGTGCAGCTGTTGAACTACCCAAAGACGCAGTTTTGCGTGATGACGTGTTTGATAAGCAAACCAACTGATCACGTGCCACACAATGTCATCGAAATAGCACAACACCCAGGAGCGCATATCTGCTACACGTGATGTTATCACAGTCACAGTCTCGTGGACCCGTGAAGGTCCGGGTTAGGATGAACCTTCAGTAACCCATGCTTGTCTCCCGTGAAGGTCCGGGTTAGGATGAACCTTCAGTAACCCATGCTTGTCTCCCGTGAAGGTCCGGGTTAGGATGAACCTTCAGTAACCCATGCTTGTCTCCCGTGAAGGTCCTGGCTAGGATGAACCTCCAGTAACCCATGCTTGTCTCCCGTAAAGGTCCGGGTTAGGATGAACCTTCAGTAACCCATGCTTGTCTCCCGTAAAGGTCCGGGTTAGGATGAACCTTCAGTAACCCATGCTTGTCGTAAGAGGCGACTAACGGGATCGGGTGGTCAGGCTCGCTGACATGGTTGACACATGTCATCGGTTCCCAAATGCGCAGGTCGATGCTCATGCTGTTGATCACTGGATTGTCTGGTTCAGATTCGATTATTTACAGACCGCCGCCATATAGCTGGAATATTGCTGAGTGCGGCGTAAAACTAAACTCATTCACTCACAGTCTCGTGCTCCTCCTAAGTGTATAGATTGTTGCCAAGAACAAATTGCTCCACTCTTCGGTAAGAGCATTAGAGATATTGCTGTAGACTTGCCGAAAATGCCGAAAGGCTGAGGTCATGCTGACTATGATCTGCTCCAAGTGGACCATCTTGGCAATCGTCCTGTGTGATCGTTATGTTGGATGAAGTCCGGTCCCACTACACCTGCAAACGGCCTCACGTGCACATGCAGAATGTAATCCTTATAGTGCACTGACGTCATCGTG